GTGCCATGTGGGTAGCTCCCTGGCCGGGGATTGACCTCGTACCACAGTGGCTGTGGATAGCTTCATAGTGCTGAGACTTAGCCCCTTGCGCCACCAGGGAGGCCCCAGTTGCTGACATTTGTGGGCCCTCTACCTGGTGAGTCATCTCCTTGACCTTGTGTTCATCTCTGGGGGCCGCCTTCAGAGCCTCAGCTCCCCTCCTCTGCCTCCAGCTCATGTCCCAGCTCCTGCACCTGGGCGTGGCGCGAGAACGTGGCATCCAAGTCAGATCTCTGGGGCTTTTCTCACGGCCTCACTTGAGCTTAGCTCCCTGTACAGGGGAGAATAGAGAGCCATTTCGGGCCGAGGCAGCCAGGTGCACACAGCGCGGCTCAGAGACAGGCTCTGCCAGATGCCCCTTCTCTGGGGCCCAGGCGGTTCAGTCAGGGCTGTGCTTTCTGCAAGCTGCACCCCGATCCACGTGGCCCGGCTGGCCCAGGAAGGCAGCAGGGTGACGGAGGGCGTGGGGCCTGGGGTCCGTGCAGATGTGCTCAGCCCAGGGGAGCAACTGAACCCAAGCACGTGGGGCTCAGGTGAGTCACTGAAGATGAGTTTCCCTGTGTTTAGGACGGAGACTATAAGCACCTTCCCGGCCTCCCTTCAACGTGGAGATCAAATCAGACAATGTGAACATGCACTTTTTTAAATGGTAAAGTGCCACACAGGGGGTGTTAATTTTATAGCTGCTCCTGCCCCTTCTGAAGTCTTTTTTTAAAAAAAGATTTATTTATTTATGTATACAAGAGCTGAGGGACAGGCCACAGGCATGGGGGGGGAGAAGATTCACCAGAGACAGAGCGGGGAACGGAACAGGCGGATTGACTGGAATACACTGCTGAGGGGAGCAGCAGGCAAGTCAGGAGAGGTCTGCTGTGCCCTGTGGGAAGCTCCCTGGCCGGGGATGGAACTCGTGCCCGGGTGGCTGCACACAGCTTCATAGGTTGTGTCTTAACCCCTTGCGCCACCCGGGAGGCCCTCTTCTGAAGTCTTGAGGGGAGAGGACAGTCACCAAGGCTGCTGGTCACCAAGTGCGGCTCCTGCTCCACAGTCCAGACAGAGACAAGAGGTGGGTGTGGCGGCCAGGTGCTGGGGATCCCAGAGGTCAGAGACGGGGGTGACTCTGGACTTGCAGACCAACTAGATGGACCCTGAGAAAATCCAGAGGCTCCCTGTTCAGGCCGACCCTGGGTCCCAGGAAGCTCTCTCTGCCAGGCTCAACAAAACACCTGTTGCCCACGATGCTCTCCAGGCCCGGGGAAGGTTGAGGAAACTAAGAGGACTGGGCGGGTGGCAATTGGAGGAGGGTCCAGACAGCTCACTACGTGGGGAGCCAGAAGGGCTGAGGAGGGCTCCCTGCCCCCCCCAGGAATCCAGAACCCCAGAGGATGGCAGTGGATCCCATCCCTCCCTCAGGACAAGTGGACCCCGGCCTTCTGTTGGGTTCTTGCCTTGAGTTCCAGCTGACCAGTGTCTGTCTCTCTCCTGAGGCTCGGCCATGACCTGGTAGCCCGCGTCAGCACCCGTCACCCTTCTTTCCCTGCAGAACTGTGGTGAGTTCTGGTCATCTTGCTTTAGCATATTTTGCTTATTTTTGTTTGAGAGTTTCGGGCTGCTTTCCTGACCTTAAGTTGTCTTGTTCAGCCTCTCTAGAGACAAGTCTCCTACCGCTTTCCTGGCCAGACACCACCTCACGGCTGGCCCCGACCAGGCTCACATTGATGGATCTCCATGTTTTTGTTTTTGCTGTAAAGATGTATGTATTTATGCGTACAAGAGCTGGGGTAGAGGCCAGAGATGCAGGGGGTGAGAGGATTCACCAGAGACAGAGTGGGGAACAGAACAGGCAGACTGACTGAAATACACTGCTGAGGGGAGCAGCGGGCGAGTCTGTTGCGCCATGTGGGTTTTTCTCTGGCCGGGCATCTAACTCGAGCTGCAGTGGCTGTGGGTTGCTTCACAGTGTGGTGCTTAACCCCTTGTGCCACCAGGGAGGCCGTGGATCTCCATGCTTAGTGCAGACTTGTGGTGAAGGCGTTGAGAGGAAAGCTGGTGGTGACTCTATGAGAGCTGCGGCTCCATCTGCTCTTCTTCTGAGCAATGGTCTCCCAGCCAGTTCACCCCATTTTCTAAGGGATTCTCAAGCCCTGCATGATAGAATGATCTGTGTGACCTCCATGATGTGCTAAATTTCCTTGTGTGTCATTTCCTCGTAGAAAAATGCTCGGTGGATCGAAATGGTTCATTTGCTTTCACGCCAGGCTGCACTTCTGCTGATTGGGGAGCCCCGGACATGACGCTGTCTCGAGTCCCTTCCTTCCCCACCCCCACCCGCAGCTCCCAGGCCACCTTCCCTGCCCATCCCTTCCCTCCACACTCAATTCTCTCTCTGCTTTTTTCTTGTACTTTGGATATTTTCAATCAAAAAGAACTCCTTGTCGGGCCTCCCTGGGGGCGCAAGGGGTCAAGCATAGCTCAGTTCCCCCCTTGGCTCCTGCTGAGTCCCTCAGGGTGCAGGGGGCCAGGAACCCCCCACAGAGGGAGGGGCAGTGGCTGAGAACCCCAGGACCCAGCCTGGCAGCGTCCTTGCAGCCAGAAGCCCCAGGCAGCCTGTGGAGGGAGCTGAGGGGAGGACCCCCCCTGAGGCCAGCACCCCAGGAGGAGGCCAGGTCTGGCCCCTGGGCCTTTGCAGGTGTGCCGGGGCCTCTGCTCTCCCAGGGGAGGGGCAGCTGGGCGCACACGGAGTGGCCCTGACCTGCAGACAGCACCCCTTCCCCACAGAGCCTCTAAGGGGAGGCTGTACCTCTGGGAATGGTACTTGGGGTTGGGCCAAAGTGTGGCTGCGGGTGTCCTTCCTCACCCTCACCCAGGGGGTGTCTGGGAACTGCTCCTGCCCGCCCACCCCTACCCTGGCCCAGAGCTTTCGCTGGACTGTCCTGGGGGGGAGCAGGTGTGGCCTCCTGGGGCCGGGGGTGACCAGGGCCCAGACCCGGGAAGGAGGGGGATCCCTGGGCGGGGCAGGAGGAGAGGGGGGGCAGCAGGGAGGGTGGGGGAGGGGCAGCTTTGGAAGGAAGAGGCTGGGGTGGCTGGATGATCTGATGTTTGAGAGGTAGGACCCCATCTTTGCGGGATCACCCCAGTCCAGACCAGGTCCCAGTGGGCGGGGGCGGGGCTGGGCTCCCATGTCCCAGGGTCAGGTGGGGGTTCGGCAGAACGTCCCAAGTCCCGCTCCCCACCCCTCCCCCTCCAGTTCCCCTGGTCACTGTTTTGCGCTGTCGCGTCTTTCCCGAGACAGAAAAACCACCTGCCCCCCCCCCCTCAGGTCCCGGAGATCCTCCTGTGAGCGCCTGCAGCGGCGCGAGCTCCAGGGAGGGGCGGGGCTGCACTAGGGCCGGGTTTCCCAGGGAAGGGCGGGCCGTGAGGACACTCGGGGACCCAGCCCGGGGGGGGGGGGGGGGGGGGGGGGGGGGGGCGGGGGGGGCTGCCCAAGGGGAGGGTGAGGACAGGCACCCGCACGGGCCCAGGGGGCGGGAGAGCTGCCCACGGGCACAGACCGCCCTGACCAGCCTTCTGTTTGGGGGCCCCCTGGGGAGCCTTGGGGTGAGCTGCAGATTCGGGGTAACTCGGCAGGACCTGGAAGGGCCGGGGAGTCCACGCTGGGCGCCGTCTCCGCGTCTTTCCCCCTGGACGCCCTGGGCCCCGTCTGGGCGCTGGGCTTGGGGATCTGGGGTGCGCGGCCGTGCCCGTGGCTGCGCGAACCTCCTCTGCCCCAGTGTCAGGGGAGAGGCTGTCCTGAGCTAATCCCATGCGGGCCTTGTGGACCCCACCCCACTCCAGACCATCAGGACATGGGGGAGACACATCCTGTCACCACCAAAGGGAGGGTGGCTGGGACCTGAGGGTGGGGTTTAGCAGTCAGGTGGGTATAAAAACCAGACACGTGGGCCTTGGGTCTCTCTGTCGCTCGCCTCCTGGCTACACGGCTCCTGGCTGGCGGCAGCTCTCAGGGCGCCATTCGGGATTCCTGATGGGCGGATCGGGTAGGACGCATTTAAAACTTTGTCTCCCACTTTTCTCCCTGAGCTGTGCATCTCCTCATCTCCCCTTCCCTTGTCAATAAACCTTTATGAACCTTTCGCGTGCGCCTGCAGCAGAGCATGGATAAGTCCTTTAAGCGCGCGGGTGGGGACCCCCAGCCAGGCACCCCGTCTTGTATCGGGGCTGCCCTGCAACACCACCTCCTCGTGGGAGCCGGTTTCCGGCCTTGGGGCGCCTCCTTTCCAGGTTTTTCTCCATTCTCGTCCGCACCATTTCGACACCAGAGGTGGTGAAGTGACTGTGGGGGTGGGGGGGCTCCCGCCCGCCGGCTGCCACCGGCCAATTTTCCCTGAAATCTGCCGCCGGCGGTTTGTGGTTCCGAGTTCTCCGCTCATCATTCCCCGCCTTCGCAGTTGTGGTTTCACGCCCGGGGTTCGCTCTTGGCGAGGCCTCGGCGAGTCAGGGTTACCTATTGGCTGGTCCGCCAGGGGCGGTGTTTGTGGACGTAAAGGTCCGCCCTAGCCGACTCCGGCCGCCGCCAGTCGCGCTCCCTGCTGCGCGCGGGGCAGGGCTGCTCAGGCGGGTCCGGGGACTCAGCGGCTTGGGGGGCTTCTAATGACGTTTCTGCACCACCTGCTGTGCAGCGACTGGAGTGGGGGTGGCGCGCCCTGGAGCGCGCTCTCTCTCTCTCCCACCCTGGGGCCTGGGGCTCCCTCTCGGGGCCCTCCCGCTGCACCCCCCTGCTCCCCCGCCAGTGGATCCTTCTGGGGTGCCCCCGACGCCGCCCCAACCGGGCATCTGCGGGTCGCGGGGCGCCGCGGGCTCTGGGGCGCCCCCGCCCGGCGGTTCTGCCTTCCTCGGCGGAGACGCGGGGCGCGGCCCTCCCGGCCGGGGCGCCCTGGGGCGCGGGGCCGGCGCCTGCTCGGGGTGCTATTCCTCCTGTTGTGGCCGTGGGGCTACTCCGGGGTGTCGGCGGCCCCCAAGACAGCGTCAACCCGGGCCGGGGCGCCCCGCCTCGGTGAGTACAGGGGGCGCGCACTGGGGGCCGGGGGAGGGTGCAGGGGGGGCCGGGAGGGGCTAAATCCCTGCAGTGGGGGAGAGCGGGTCCCTGGGGCTCTGGAGCCGGGTCTGCGGCCACAGAGGTGGCCCCGCCCGCCCCGTCCCCCTTTTCTTTTCTCTTGAGAATCTCGGCCTCCTTAGGACCATGGGGGGGGAGGGGAAGTTTCTCTCCCCAGAAGAGGCGACACCTCAAACAACTGACAGGGGGAGTGCCTGAGAGGGGGACATCGGAAGTTCTCCCGAACCCCGCACCCGCACCTCGGGACTTGGGAGCCCAGCCCCGCCCCCCAACTGGGACCTGGCCTGGACTGGGGTATCCGGCAAAGACGGGGTCCTACCTCTCAAATATCAGATCCTCCAGCTCCCCCAGCCTCTTCCTGCCAAAGCTGCCCCTCCCCCACCGCCCTGCTGCCCCCCCCCTCCTCCTGCCCCGCCCAGGGGTCCCCTCCTTCCCTGGTCTGGGCCCTGGTCACCCCCGGCCCCAGGAGGCCACACCTGCTCTCCCCAGGACAGTCCAGGGAAAGCTCTGGGCCAGGGTAGGGGAGGGCGGGCAGGAACAGTTCCCAGACACCCCCTGTGTGAGGGTGAGGAAGGACACCTGCCGCCACGCTTTGGCCCAACCCCAAGTACCATTCCCAGGGGGACAGCCTCCTCTGAGGGGCACGGAGGGCGTGGGGTCCCCACCCTTCTCTGTGGGGAAGGGGTGCTGTCTGCAGGTCAGGGCCACTCAGTGTGCGCCCAGCTGCCCCTCCCCTGGCAGAGCAGAGGCCCCGGGGCACCTGCAAAGGCCCAGGGGCCAGACCTGGCCTCCTCCTGGGGTGCTGGCCTCAGGGGGGTCCTCCCCTCAGCTCCCTCCTCAGGCTGCCTGGGGCTTCAGGCTGCAGGGACGCTGCCAGGCTGGGTCCTGGAGTTCTCAGCCACTGCCCCTCCTCTCTGGGGGGGTTCCTGGCCCCCTGCACCCTGAGGGACTCAAGGGGCCGCAGTGGGGAGCTGAGCTGGGTGCTCAGCATGTCTGGTGTGGGGTCTGGTCACCTGTTGTGTGGCTTATGAGTTCCCGTGGGCCTGCCCGTGCCCGTGCCAGAGTCACCTCTGCCAGGAGCTCTGGGCCTGCCTGACCTCGCCACAGACACTCAGGTGATCCTGAGGCACCTGGACTCTCCCTCTCCAGCTCACACCCCTCCCTGCACCCTGCCCCCATGGCCCAAGGCCTCACTACCAACTGTGGTGATTTTCCAGGGGCTGTTTAAATGGAGGGGTTACCCCTCACCCCTTCAGAGAACCCCCTGTGTCTCAGACATGGGGTAGGCCATGTGAGGGCCTCTTCTTTCAGTCCTGCCCTCACTGGGTTGTCATCCCCTGCAGACTCTCTCAAGGTTAGCATCACTGTCACTTCTACACCGGAACCTGTGCTGCCATGGTGTGGGGCTGCAGTTGAGGTGCAGGGGGAGCCCTGTTTTTCCTATGACTGCCGGAGCCACGAGGTCAGGCCCGTCTGTGTTCGGGGGAAGAAGGTGGCGGCTCCACTCAGGGAGGACCTGAGAGAAATTCTGAAAGACCTGACGGCAAAGTTCAAGGAGAAGCTTCTTGACAGTGACCCAGAGGATCCCCGAGGCAGGGGTGAGGGTGAGGCCCAGGGAGGGGGCGCGTGTGGGTTGGGGCGCTGTCGTGTGGAAGGAAAAGTCTCCTGTGGCAGCACCAGGGAGGACACGGGGGCAGAGCAGGGCAGGGGTCGGGACCAGGGCCGTGGGCACCGGGGGCAGAGACCGAGCCCTCTCCCCGGGCAGCGCCCCTCTCCCTGCAGGCCACGCTGGAGATGCAGGAGGAGGCCGGGGGGCGCCGCCGAGGGTCCTGGCAGCTCGTCTTCAGTGGACGCGTCTCCCTGCGCCTGGACTTGGAGACCAGAGCCTGGACGGCGGGTCGCCCTGGAGACAGGTCGATGCTGGAGAAGTGGGAGGAGGACACGGACATGGACGCGTTTCTCTGGGGGACGTCCCATCGAGACTGGAAGTTGTGGCTTCAGAGAGTTGCAGTGCATTGGGGGGCGCCGGCGACCAAAGGTAACAGGGAAGTGGTGTAGGGAGGAGTGGTGAGTTTCTTAGATGATGAGTTTGTGTGTGTATGTGTGTGTGTGAGTGTGTAGGCGTGTTGGGGAGTGCCCCGCCCCCCTGAGATCTTCTCAGGAGACAGCGGCTGGGACACAGCTGTGCTCGGCCTCCTGTCCCCTGTCCCCTCCTGACACCCCGTCCTCTCTGCAGCACCTCTGTTCCCTCCACGGCCTGTTTGCTGACTCAGACCTGGGGCGTCTTTCTGTGTCCAGACCTTTCTCCCGCTGCGCCCTCCTCAGCCTCTCTGTGCTTCTCCTCTGCCCTGGTCTGTGTCTGGAAAGTCTTCCGTCCCCCTCAGCGCCGGCTCCTGAGAGGCGTCTCTGTCACCTCCTCGGGTCCCTGCGCCTCTGTCCCAGCAGGAGAGACTGGGGGGTGAGCCCCTCGCTCCCCCTGAGCTCTGAGCCCCTGGGGGACGGGACTGGCTCTATCTGTACATCCAGGATGTGTAGTAGGTGCTGCCAGAGGGAAGAATATTTCTGAATTTGGGGTACCTGGGTGGGGAGTTCTCCACTTCTGAGGTCTGAACCATTATTTTACTGTGATTTCCCTTTTCAGCACCACCGAGCACGACCCCAGGCAGGTCTGGAAACACAAGTACCCTGCAGGGGCCCTCGTTCATCTTTGTGATCACCCTCGCCTGCCTCATCCACCTGGCATCGTCATATTCTTTATAACACAGAAGGTACCATGTGCAGGATGAGGGGACGGGCCGGGGGGTGGGTGTGAGGGGGGCCCAGGATCCCCAGGCGGGCCCTCCCCTCCCTGCCCCTGCTCCTGGGGAAGGAGAGCAGGCGGGGAGGGCGCGTGTCCCTGGAGCAGGGACTGGGGTGAGCTGGGCCCTGAGAGCTGAGCCCCCTCCTGTAAAGCCCGCGGTGGGGAGGGGCCACCGGGCTCAGGGCCTGTGGGTGTCTGAGGGTGTAGCGGGTCCCTCCTGCCTTGGGGCAGATGTCTGCGGGGGCGGGGCCCCTGGAGGGCGGAGGGGGCAGCAGGCACAGGTCCTGGTTGTCCAAGGCTTTGCTGGGGTCACCAAGCAGCGGCATGGGGTCCCTGTATGATGTGTCAAGGGGAAGGAGGTTCCATTCCTGGGCTCAGAGCAGAGGGCCTGGGTCAAATCCCTGGACAAGGGATGAGGAGACCTCGCAGATAGAATCACAGTCTGGAGATCCAGCCGCAGCCCTGCAGATAGCAGCTTGGATGGAGCAGGTGGTGGGAGGGGAGAGCAGAGGCCGGGCAGGAGGAGATTAGAGGGGCCTTAACTCTCAGCAGCCCCGGGGATCCTGGCTCAGCCCTGTGCTGTCACCTGGAAGCCAGCAACCCCCAGACCCCGGGCCCCCAGGCAGCTGCCCCTGTCTAAGGAGAGGGGCCCAGGGATAGTTTTGCTGTTGTAGGTGATGCTGACCACTGGGCTGGATAGGACAGAAGGGGTTCGGGACCCTCAGTGCCTGTGTGCACCCCCAGTCTGGGGAGAGGCTGAGACCCAGGGAAGAGGCTCTTAGCCCGCAGCCTCCCAGGCCTGAGGGAGCAGCAGCCAGGCCGCCCTCTCAGGGGCTCCCAGTCTGACCTCAGCAGCAGGCACAGGCAGTTCCCTGAGCCTGGAGTCCTGACCCCCCTCAGCCTGGGGCTGGCTCTGCTGTGGGAAGGAGGGAGGAGGCTCCACAAGCTGCAGCCCAGGGAGGGCGGGGCTTGGGGATGGAGGTTACTGTGGAGGGGCAGACCCAGGAGAAGGGATCTGGAACTCCCTCAGCCACTGGCACAAACTGGGTTTTCTTTTCTGACAGCAGAGATGCTGTAAGGAGCACAGGAAGACAGGGATTTCTGGGCACTGCCCCTTCTTGGCCTGCTCTCTATCTCCAGCTGCTAGTCCTGACACCTGGAGCTCAGTTCTTATAGCAACTGCCGACACCTGCTGAGAGGGGCTAACACAGGGGAGGCCACAGTCAGCATCTTTCTGATTTGGAGAAAACCCAGTGCTGCATCCTGCCCACAGACGCCCCTTCTCCTGGCGCTGATTGTGGGCGTCTCTGCACTTGAACTTCTCCTTACTTGAAGGACACTTTTCAAAAGTGAAGTCATTTTCCACCTTCACCTTTCCTGTGAAAATCAGTCACATCTCTGCATCGTCACCTTCCTCTAATAAATGATGTGTCTGGGGCCTCGTTGGTGGTGCAAGGGGTTAAGTACAGCACTGTGAAATTATCTGCGGCCTCTGCAGCACCAGTACAGCCTCTGCAGCCATGGAGCTGACTCTCGTGGTCCAGCAGACCTCTCCTGTCACCCTGCTGCTCCCCTCAGCAGTGTATTTCAGTCAATCTGCCTTTTCTACTCCCCATTCTATCTCTGGTGAATCCTCCCACCCCACTGCACCTCTGGCCTGTACCCCATTTCTTGTATGAATAAATAAATAAATGTTAAAACAAATCAAATTATGTGTGTGGTAAAACATGGCGTGACCTGCAGAACTTCAGGGATCCTTTCTGGGCCTGGCTGTGGGGGTCAGGGAGGCTGAGTTTTGAAGGGACCTAATATTGTCACTACCATTTTTCCCTCCCAAGGTAGCATTTTTATTACCGTTTTTATTGGGACAAGTTATCAATTAAGGATTGGAATGGCCTGTTGTTCAGCCTATGAGTATACAAGATTTATTTATTTATGTGTACAGGAACTGGGTATAGGGCAGAAGTGTGGGGAGTCGGGTGCTTGTGTGTGAGAGAGAGAACTCCCCAGAGACTGAGTGGGGAGCAGGACAGGCAGAGCTACTGAAACACACTGCTGAGGGGAGCAGCGGGGAGACAGGAGAGGTCTGTCTCACCACCTGGGTTATCTCCTTGGCCAGAGATCAAATTCATGTTGTGGTGGCTGGGGATAATTCAATAGTGCTGCGTTTTTAACCCCTATGCCACCAGTGCAATTATTTTAATTTTATTTTAATTTTTTTTATAATAATAAATTTTATTTTTATATTCCCCATACAATTTCAACCACCCCATTCTGACCCCAATCCCTCCCCTCCCGCCCCCCACCCCCCCCAAAAAGTGTCTCTGGTTCATAGTTATTTGTTGATTTTGATTTTCACTTTCTTATAGTTATTCATTTTCCTGGTCCCTTATTTAAGTTTTCTAGATTCCTTCTATGAGTGAGACCATCCGGTATTTTTCTTTTTCTTTCTGGCTTATTTCGCTGAGCATGATCCCTTCCAGCGCCATCCATGTTGCTGCAAATGGCATGTGTTTATCTTTTTTGAATGCTGAGTAATATTCCATGGTGTATATGGACCACATCTTCTTGATCCAGTCATCTATTTTTGGGCATCTGGGCTGTTTCCAAAGCTTAGCTATTGTAAACAGTGCTGCTATAAACATAGGGGTGCAGGTGCTCTTTGGAATGGATGTTTCTGTGTCCTTTGGGTAAATACCTAGGAGTGGAATTGCTGGATCCTATGGAAGCTCTATGTTTAGTAGGTCGAGAAATCTCCACACAGCTCTCCATAGTGGTTGGACCAGTTTGCGCTCCCACCAGCAGTGCTGGAGAGTTCCTTTTTCTCCACACCCTCGCCAACATTTGTTGTTGCTAGTTTTTTTAATATGTGCCATTCTCACTGGTGTAAGATGGCATCTCATGGTAGTTTTGATTTGCATTTCCCTGATGACAAGTGATGTTGAACATTTTTTCATATGCCTGTTGGCCATTTGCATTTCCTCTTCAGAGAAGTTTCTTTTTAGCTCTTCTGCCCATTTTTTGACTGGATTATTTTCTTTGTTGTTGTTGAGTCTCATCAGCTCTTTGCAGATTTTTGTGACCAGTCCTTTATCATTAGTGTTGTGTGCAAAAATGTTCTCCCAGTTGGTGGGGTTTCTCTTTGTTTTGGTTATTGTCTCTTTTGCTGTGCAGAAGCTCTTTAATTTGATGTAGTTCCAGCTGTTGATCTTTGCCTTCACTATCACTGCTTTGGGTGATGTGTCTGTAAAGATGTCTTTGATGTGCAAATCCCGTAGTGTTTCGCCTATATTTCCTTCTATGTATTTTATGGTTTCAGGTCTTATGTCTAGTTCTTTAATCCATTTTGAGTTGGTTTTTGTGTATGGTGTGAGGTAGTGGTCAAGCTTCATTCTTTTGCATGTAGCGACCCAGTTTTCCCAGCACCATTTATTGAACACACTTTCTTTGCTCCAATGCATAGTCTTTGCTCCTTTGCCAAAGATTAGTTGACCATAAATCTGTGGGTTTATTTCTGGATTTTCTATTCGATTCCATTGGTCTGTGTGTTTGTTCTTGTTCCAATACCATGCAGTTTTGATGATTATGGCTTTGTAGTAGAGTTTGAAATCTGGGAGTGTGATGCCTCCATTCCCTTCTTTTTTTTTTTTTTCAGGACGGTTTTGACTATTCAGGGTTTTTGGTGGCTTCATATGAATTTCATCAATATTTTTTCTATTTCTTTGAAGAATGATATTGAAATTTTAATTGGAATAGCATTGAAAATGTAGATTGCTTTTGGTAGGATGGCCATTTTGATAATGTTAATTCTTCCGATCCATGAGCAGAGGATGTCTTTCCATTTCTTTGTTTCTACTTCTATTTCTTTTAACAGTGTTTTATAGTTTTCTTTGTATAGGTCCCTTATTTCTTTTGTTAAGTTCATTCCCATGTATTTGATTTTTTTTGTTTCAATAATGAAATAATGGTTTTCTTGATTTCTTCTTCAGATTTATTGTTTGTGTATAGGAAGGCTACTGATTTTTGTGCATTGATTTTGTATCCTGCCACTTTACTAAACTGATTGATTAGTTTAATTAGCTTTTCTGTGGAGTTTTTGGGTTTCTCTATGTATGTTATCATATCATCCGAGATAGTGATAGTTTGACTTCTTCCTTGCCTATTTGGATTCCTTGTATGCCTTTCTCTTGTCTTATTGCTCTGGCTAGGACTTCCAGTATTATGTTGAAAAGCAGTGGTGAGAGTGGACATCCTTGTCTTGTTCCAGATTAATGGGAATGCTTTCAGCTTTTCATCATTGAGAATGATACTGGCTGTGGGCTTGTCATATATGGCCTTTATGATGTTGAGGTGTATTCCTTATATCCCGAGAATTTCAAGGGCCTTTATCATAAATGGGTGTCGTACTTTGTCAAATGCTTTCTCAGCGTCTATGGATATTATCTTATGGTTTTTATATTTCTTTTTGTTGATGTGTTGGATTACATTGATTGATTTTCAGATGTTGAAGCATCCTTGTGTCCCTGGAATAAATCCCACTTGGTCATGGTGAATTATCCTATGGATGCATTGTTGGTTTCTGTTGGCAAGGATTTTGTTGAGGATTTTTGCATCAGTGTTCATTAGGGAGATTGGCCTGCAATTTTCTTCTTTTGTGCTGTCTTTGTTGGGTTTTGGTATTAGTGTAATGTTGGCTTCGTAGAACGTATTTGGTAGTATTCCTTATTTTTCAATTTTTTGAAAGAGTTTGTGTAGGCTAAGCACTAATTCTCTGCTGAATGTTTGGTAGAATTCATTTGTGAAGCCGTCTGGGCCTGGGCTTTTGTTTTTGGGGAGTGCTTTGATTGCTACTTCAATTTTGCTGCTTGTAATTGGTCTGTTTATTTGTTCTATTTCTTTGTCCAGCTTTGGATGATTATATCATTCTAGGAATTTGTCCATCTCTTCTAGGTTGTTGAATTTGTTTGCATATAAGTGTTCATAGTAATCTCTGATTATTCTTTTGATTTCTACTGAATCTGTTGTGATTTCTCCTCTTTCATTTATAATCCTATTTATATGTGTTTTCTCTTTGTGAACCTTGCTAGAGGTTTGTCTATTGTTTATTTTTTCAAAGAACCAACTTTTGGTTTCATTGATCTTTTCGATTTTTTTTAATCTCTAATTCATTTATTTCTGCTTTGATTTTTATTATTTCCTTTCTTCTACTGACTTTAGGGGTTTTTTTGCTGTTCTTTTTCTAGTTCTTTGAGATGTGAAATTAGGTTGTTTGTTTGAGTTCTTTCTTGTTTGTTGATGTGAGCTTGTATTGCTGTATATTTTCCTCTTATTACTGCCTTTGCAGCATCCCATATATTCTGGAAAGTGGTGTCCTCCTTGTCATTCAACTCAAAGTATTTTTTAATTTCTTCTTTGATCTCCTCATTAGTCCAGTGGTCTTCCAGTAGTGTGGATTTCAATCTCCATGAAGTGGGAGGGTGCCCTGTTTTTTTTTTTTCATGATTTATTTCTAGCTTGATGCCTTTATGATCGGAGAAGATAGTTGGAATGATTTTGATTTTCATGTATCTGTTGATGTTTGTCTTGTGGCCCAGTGTGTGATCAATTCTGGAGAATGATCCATGCGCACTTGAGAAAAATGTGTACTCAGATTTCTTTGGGTACAGAGTCCTATAGATGTCTGTTAAGTCCATGAGATCTATGTCTTTATTTAGGGCTCCAGTGTCTTTGTTTATTTTTTGTGTCATTGATCTGTCCATTGGTAAGAGTGGGGTGTTAAAGTCTCCCACTATATATGTATTTTCTTTAATACCTGTTTTTGGAGCTGATAATAATTGTCTAATATATTTTGGTGCCCCTTCATTTGGCGAGTATATGTTGATGAGTGTTATATCTTCCTGATGTATTGTCCCCTTGATCATAATGTAGTGTCCATCTATGTCTCTTTTTACTTTTTTTAATTTGAAGTCTATTTCATCTGATATAAGTATAGCTGTTTCTGCCTTCTTTTTTGGTCCATTTGCTTGCAGGATTGTTTTCCAACCTTTTACTTTCAGTCTGTGTTTATCTTTTGTGGTTAAATGTGTTTCCTGGAGAAGCAAAAGGTTGGATTTTGTTTTTTAATCAAGCCTGCTACTCTGTGTCTTTTTATTGATGAGTTTAATCCATTTACATTTAGAGTTAATATTGATATGCTGGCATTTGTGTTTGCCATTTTTTTGGTCTTTTTTGTGATTTTATTCCTTGCATTATTCTGTTCTTCCTGTTCATTGCTCTGTTGGTTGTGGCTTTAGGACTTCTTGTAGAATTTTTTGGAGTGGGGGTTTATTGTAATGAATTTCTGGAATTTCTGTTTGTCTGAGAAGGTCCATATTTTTCCTTCATAGAGGAAGGAGAGCTTTGTAGGGTAAAATATTCTTGGTTGGCATTTGCTGTCTTGAAGTTTGCTGAATATGTTACTCCTTTCTCTTCTTGCCCATAATGTTTCTTTGGAGAAGTCAGAAGTTAACCTGATTGGTTTTCCCTTATAAGTTATCTGTTTTTTCCCCCTTGCCAGTTTCATTATTTTTTCCTGTCTTGGACTCTTGCAAACTTTGCTATTAGGTGTCTTGCTGTAGTTTTCTTTTCATTATGGTAATTGGGGGTTCTTCTCGCTTCTTGTATGTCTATATTCATCTTGTTTTTCATGCTTGGGAAGTTTTCTTCAATTATCTCCTTGAATAATTTCTCAGTTCCTTGGTCTCTCGCCTCACCTTCTGGAATGCCTACAACTCTTACATTTCCTCTCTTCATGGAGTCTGATAATTGTCAAAGAGTGTCCTCATGCTGCTTCATTTGCACTTCTCTCTCCTTTTCTCTTTTGGCTCTTTTTATTTCTGTATCTTCGATAGTACTGATCTGTTCTTCCATTTCATCAATTCTGTTTTCATTGCTTTTCCCAGAGTTCTTTATCTCCTCAAGTAATCTTTTTATCTCCTGCGTTTCTTTCCTTTCTTAGGGTCTCAATTTCATTCTTCAGTTCAGTGATTATTTGTCTCAAATCATTTTTTCCTTTTCGTTTTCTTTCTGCTTTTTAATCAGGATGATTATTAAGTCTCTATCTGATGGGCCAAGAAGTTCTCCCATGGCATTGTTGAGCTCTGGTGACTGTATTTCTTTTTGTGGTGTATCCTCCTGCTGGCTTGCTTGGCTATTTATATTTTTTCTTCTCCCTGTTGTTTGCTTTCTAATTAGTTCTGTGCGTTGGGACGTTGTGCCACTGGTGTTGGCGGGCATCTCTTTGGAGTGCTCCGTTAGGGGTGTCAGAAACTGTTTACCACACTGAGACCAGCACTGGTAGGCCAAAACTCCACCAGGGTGTTGATGCTGTGTTGCTGGGCTCTACCCTTTACAGAGGGCTCTGTTCCCTCCCTCTGTATTTTCTCAGTTCCAACAGGGAATCAGCTAGTTGGTGATTTAGTTCTGGTCATGAGGTGGTGCCAGAGACCCATACAGGCTGACCAGTGTTTTTTCCCAGTGGTTCTCTGAGTAGTGGAGTGGGGGTGGAAGGGAGCACCTCAACAAAGGGGCTCTTGTTCAAGCCGGGTGCTGTGTGTTCCCCGTGTTCACCTGGTGTTGTGCCCGCAGCTGTATGGATCCCACGCCCAGAATTCTGCACTCTAGGTCTCAGTTCCAGGGCTATCAGATCCAAAATGCTGGCTGTCACCCTGTGCAGTGGCTGCTGCTATGGCGCGTCCCACACCCCGGATCCTGTGCCTAGCTCTCAGTTCCAAGATGGGGTCTTGCTCCACACCTTATTTATCCCCTTACCCCCATTTGCCTGGCCCACCCTCTCTCAGCACCTGATGGTGTTTTGGGGATCCCTGGTTTCCAACTATAGCCTGTTGGTGATTTTTTTCTGGCTGCTAGGTGGCGCCAGAGATCTTTCCTAGTGTCATTCCAGAACTGTTTTTCTACTCAGTGGGTTCCGGGGGAACAGAGTGGGAGTGGTGTGGAGAGCCTTAACAGCGTGGGGGTGCTGTGTCTGCCCTGTGCCCCACCGTCGTGGGGATCCCACACCCCGAATTTCGTGTCCCGGGTCTCAGTTCCAAAGCCCTCATGTCCAGGATGCGGGCTGTAGCCCAGTTCAGTGTCCGCAGAAATGGCTCCTTTTGCACCCCGCTCCCATGTCCGGGCCTGGTTCCTGATTACTCCGTGAGGGACATTCACCTCATTGAGGGCCCCCGCGCGTCTCCCTGCAAGCCTAGGTCGCTGGTGCGGGGACCTGGGCAGCCCCGATCTGCGTATGCTTTTCAAGTGGGATGCTTTTCCGCACAAGCTTACCGGCTGGCCTGGGGCTGTGTGCAGGTCTCCGGGAGTCTTTGTTTTTCTCTAATGGCACCTGGAGCCGTTTGCTCACCTCCTCAGCGAATCCTGCACGGTTCTCCACAGTTCTGTTAATAGGGCAGCCCTGATACAAAACGGATTGCCTGACTGTGGGTCCTCACCCGCCCACTTATAAGGACTTATCAGTCCCAACTGGCACTCTGAGAGCTGGCCGCAAGCCAGGAGCCATGAAGCCAGGAGGCGAGCGAGAGAGCGAGCCCCCCTCCCCCCCCCAAGGCCCATGTGTCTGGTTTTATACCAAACCTGGCTGCTTAACTCCACCCTCAGGTCCCAGCCACCTTCCCTTTGGTGGTGATGGATGTGTCTCTCCCCATGTCCTGATGGCTTTGGTCTGGAGTGGGGTGGAGTCCACAAAGCCCGTGTGGAATTAGCTCAGGCCAGCCTTTCCCCCTAACAGTTCCAGTTCACAGGGTGCAGTGGCTGAAATAGTTCCTTTCCACTCACAGTCCCGCTTCATGCGTAGTTTGTTCTTGTTGGTTGTTTTAGTTTTTTGTATTTTTGGTTTTTTCCCCTCCTTTCTGTTGGTCGGAGAGTGCTGACTTTGTGGGCTGGGGAGGGTAGCAGGGTTCTGAGCTTTCCTCCCTTCTAGTCCTCTTTTATAGCAACTTTCTTCTTTGGGCAGTTTGCCAGAGTCAACCATTTATCTTCCATGTCCCAGTTCTCACAGGAACCTGCCGCTTTAACTCCCTATTAACTTTTTTTTTTAATCATTTTTTTTAAAGATTTATTTATTTATTTATTTATTATTTATTATTTTATACAAGCACTGGGTACAGTCAGAAGTGCGGGAGGGTGAGAGAATTCACCAGAGCCAGAGCGGGGAACAGAGCAGGCAGAAGGACCGAAGGACACTGCTGAGGGGTGCAGCGGGCGGCAGGAGAGGTCTGCGCGCCATGTGGGACCCTCCTCTGGTGGCCGGGGAGAAGCCGGGGATAGAACTGGTGCTGCAGAGGCTGCGGGCAGCTTCACAACCCAGGGCTCAACCGCTGCGCCACCAGGGAGGCCCTTAACTTTTTTTTTTTTTTTATGGGAGGTCTTACTCGCAGCATTTCCTCACCGCCATGTTGATAGGATCTTGAGTGTTTATTTTTATCTCCTAACAATTTTAGCCAAGTCTGGGCTGGAAATTTGGGCTGGAAATTAGTTTAGATTTTGGAATGGTTTTATAATTAGGAGCTGATGCCCCCACAAAGAGGTCAGTACTGGCTCTGGAATCAATTTTTGACTTTTGAAAAACAATCTCGTCATCTGAAGAATTCTGATCACCTTTCCCTGATACTGCAGGCTATTTTTTTTTTTCTTTTACTTTCGGTTTTGCATCTTTCCTTTGGCTTCCAGCCAGGCTAAAACGATCTATCTGTTCAGGCAATTGTTTTGTTAGTACGGGGCTGTCAGCTGAGGACTCTTTGATGTCTTCTAAGGATATAGACAGTCGTGATTCTCTGAGTTTTTTATTTATCTTTTCTAATTCAGACCCTTGATCTAGCATGTCTTGTAGCAGCCCCCACAGTGAAAAGGCATCTATGGGGACCTTTTTGCATCCATGGAAAGTATAATAGGTTGTCATTTTCTCTCCCACTCTGGCCCAGGTGTTCACATCCAGAGTTCTGTCTCTTGGAAACCAAGGACAACACATTTCAACAAAATTTAGGAAGCTGGCCAATTGTGCATGAGAGGTCTTAAGGCCTCTCTTAGCAAGTGTATACTTAATTATAATTATTAATAAAGAGTTGTCTTTCCCTCAACTCAGTATGGGCCACATCTTCTCAATCTATAATCCCCACTCTTCCAGTTCTTGATAACTGCTCCTCTCTTATCCTGTTTATTCTCTACAGGGGGGTATGCACCCTACCCTATGAGCAGATCATATCCGTCCCCGTAAAGGAAAGAAAGATTACCTTTCAGGTCCCTGTTCGGGCGCCACTTGTCGAAGACCAGGTTTTGGCAAAATGTCGGGTCAGGTATCCCTGAAAGGATGAGACAGCCTAGGCGAAACTTTAAGGGATGAAGGGAAGGGGAGTGAGGCAGTCACAGACACTCTTATATTGGTGAAAGTATCTCCTCCTGAGGGTCTCAGTGGGTCTTTATTATACATTAAGGCAAGCGATGAGATTACATCATCGTATGCATAGAAGCAAAACAAAAACAATCCGTACATTCCTTTCCCATAGACATTTTGGTGCCTACATGTTTTTAAGAAAAGAAACGACCTTAAAAGTTAATCGATAATTAAGTCTTAGACTCATTATTTCAGCTTAAACAACTACCTAGGTCAGCTAACAGTCCTTGGTACCTCCCTGTCGCCAAGGCTGTAATATCAGGAGACTCCTTTATCCATATGGCCTTCAGCTAGAGACCAGTTGCTTCCCGGTAATCACTTACTAGAACTTTTTTCTACCTTGAAACTCCTAGCATAATCAACTTTATGATTCATTACAAGGCTTCTTTACGGAACTTCCATATGACGAATATTATGACCAGCTCTGGGTTGCTTATCAGACATGCCCTTGCACAATAATTATTTCCCATTGTCAAGTGGGCCAAATTATTCAATGTTTAATTTTTAAGCAAGTAATTTTCCATGCCATGTACTTACAATATTCTTATACGTATAATTTATTGCCCAATGTATTTACTGAGAAGTTCTTTCTATTATGATCAAGAACAAAAAACAAAGGGATGTTCAGTCTTCAGCCCCACAGTGTGAGGTTCTTTAAAGTATTTGGCCCCACGTTGTGAGCCCATTTTCTTCAGCCCCATGGTGTGAGGCTCTTTAAGCTTCGGCCCCACGGTGTGAGGCCCTATTCTTAGCTGCTTGCCAGTGTCTTACCTGGCTGGGGCAGCGAGGACCCCTGCAGTACCCACCCTTCTCTGTGGGGAAGGTGTGCTGTCTGCATGTCAGGGCCACTCAGTGTCCGCCCAGCTGCCCCTCCCCTGGGAGAGCAGAGGCCCCGGGACACCTGCAAAGGCCCAGGGACCAAACCCGGCCACCTCCTGGGGTGCTGACCTCAGGGGAACCTTCCCCACAGCTCCCTCCACAGGCTGCCTGAGGCTTCTGGCTGCAGGGACTCTAGCAGGTTGGGTCCTGGGGTTCTAGCCAATGCCCCTCCTCTCTGTGGGGGTTCCTGGCCCCTTAGAACCTGTGGAACTCAGCAGGAAGTTGCAGGGGGGAACTGAGCTGGGTGTTCAGCATGTCTGGTGTCGGGTCTGGGCCACCTGTTCTGTGGCTTATTAGTTCCCTGTGGTCCTGCTCGTGCCAGTGCCAGAGTCACCTCTGCCATGAGCTCTGGGCTTGCCTGACCTCACCACAGACACTCCGATGATCCTGAGGCACCAGGACTCTCCATCTTCAGCTCATAACCCTCCCTGTGCCCCGTCCCCTTGGCCCAAGGCCTCATCTCTACCAACTCCAGGGGCTGTTTAAAGGCTGTGACCCCACACCCCTTCAGAGAACCCCCTGTGTCTCAGACGTGGGGGAGGCTGCGTGAGGGCCTCTTCTTTCAGTCCTGCCCTCACCTGGGCATTTCCTTCTCCCCTGCAGACTCTCTCAGGGTTAACATCACCATCACTCCTACGCCCGGACCTGGGCTGCCATGGTGTGAGGCTAAAGTTGAGGTGCAGGGGGAGCCCTGTTTTTCCTATGACTGCCGGAGCCACAAGGTCACACCGATCTGTGTTCGGGGGAAGAAGGTGGAGGCTCCACTCAGGGAGGACCTGAGAGAAATTCTGAAAGACCTGACGGAAAACTTCAAGAAGAAGCTTCTTGACATTAAACACGAGGATCCCCGAGGCAGTGGTGAGTCTCAGGCCCAGGGAGGGGACGCGTGTGGGTTGGGGCGCTGTCGTGTGGAAGGAAAAGTCTCCTGTGGCAGGGGCCAGGGAGGACACGGGGGCAGAGCAGGGCAGGGGTCGGGACCCAGGCTGTGGGCCCCGGGGGCAGAGACCGAGCCCTCTCCCCGGGCAGCGCCCCTCTCCCTGCAGGCCACGCTGGAGATCCAGGAGGAGGCCGGGGGGCGCCGCCGAGGGTCCTGGCAGCTCGTCTTCAGTGGACGCGTCTCCCTGCGCCTCGACGTGGAGACCAGAGCCTGGACGGCGGATTCTGGAGACAGGTGGATGCTGGAGAAGTGGAAGGATGACACAGACATGAACGAGTTTCTCTGGAGGACGTCCCTTGGAGACTGGAAGACGTGGCTTCAGAAAGTTGCAGCGCACTGGGGGCCCCCGGGGACTACAGGTAACTGCGGGGTGGGGAGGAGGGGTGGGTTTCTCAGATGAGTGTGTGTGTGAGTGTGTGTACGCATGTTGGGGAGTGCCCCGCCCCCCCGAGTTCTTCTCAGGAGACAGCGGCTGGGACACAGCTGTGCTCGGCCTCCTCCTGTCCCCCGTCCCCTCCTGACACCCCGTCCTCTCTGCAGCACCTCTGTTCCCTCCACGGCCTGTTTGCTGACCCAGACCTGGGGCGTCTTTCTGTGTCCAGACCTTTCTCCCGCTGCGCCCTTCTCAGCCTCTCTGTGCTTCTCCTCCGCCCTGGTCTGTGTCTGGAAAGTCTTCCGTCCCACCTCAGCACCAGCTCCTGAGAGGCGTCCCTGTCACCTCCTCGGGTCCCTGCGCCTCTGTCCCAGCAGGAGAGACTGGGGGGTGAGCCCCTCGCTCCCCCTGAGCTCTGAGCCCCTGGGGGATGGGTCTGCCTCCTCTCTCCGCATATCCAGGACCCGCTATAGAAACTGCCAGAGGGAAGAAAATTTCTGCACTTTGGTGTACCCTGGAGTGGGGGGTGGTGGAATTCTCCACTTTTGGGGTCTGGAGGAGGGTTTCACTGTGATTTTCCGTTTCAGCGACACTGAACACGAGCCTAGGCAGGTGTGGAACCATGAACTCGACCTCAGACCTAACCCCAGGCATGTCTGGAACCACGAGCACCCTGCAGGAGCCCTGGGTCATCTCTGTGATCACCCACGCCTGCGCCATCCTATCTGGCATCATCATCTGCTTTATAACACAGAAGGTACCATGTGCAGGATGGGGAAACGGAAGGGGCCGGTGTGAGGGGGGCCCGGGATCCCCAGGCAGGCCCCTCCCCTCCCTGCCCCTGCTCCTGGGAGAAGGAGAGCAGGCGGGAAGGGCGCGTGTCACTGGAGCAGGGACTGGGCAGAGCTGGGCCCTGAGAGCTGAGCCCCCTCCTGTAGAGCCCGCGGTGGGGAGGGGCCACCGGGCTCAGGGCCTGTGGGTGTCTGAGGGTGTAGCGGGTCCCTCCTGCCTCGGGGCAGATGTCTGCGGGGGCGGGGCCCCTGGAGGGTGGAGGGGGCAGCAGGCACAGGTCCTGGTTGTCCGAGGCTTTGCAGGGGTCACCAAGCAGCGGCATGGGACCCCTACATGATGTGTCAAGGGGGAGGAGGCTCCATTCAGGGGCTCAGAGCAGAGGGCCTGGTCCAATCCCTGGACAAAGGGTGAAGAGACCTCGCAGACAGACCCGACAGTCCGGAGATCCGGCTGCAGCCCCGCAGACAGCAGCTTGGATGGTGCAGACAGTGGAAAGGGACAGCAGAGATGTTGGGGGAGCAGGTCAGAAGGACCCTAACTCTGAGAAGACCCCAGGATCCTGACTCACCCCTGTGCTGTCACCTGGCAGCCAGCCTCCCACAGACCCCAGGCCCCCAGCCAGGTGCCCTGTCTTGAGAAGAGTGAAACAGGAAATGGGGGACACTGTTGTGGGGGACACTGACAGCTGGGCTGGATGGGACAGAAGGGGTTGGTGACCCTCAGATCCTGTGTGCACCCCCAGTGTGAGGAGAGGCTGAGACCCAGGGAAGAGGCTCTTAGCCCGCAGCCTCCCAGGCCTGAGGGAGCAGCCGCCAGGCCGCCCTCTCAGGGGCTCCCAGTCTGACCTCAGGAGCAGGCACAGGCAGTTCCCTGAGCCTGGAGTCCTGACCCCCCTCAGCCTGGGGCTGGCTCTGCTGTGGGAAGGAGGGAGGAGGCTCCACAGGCTGCAGCCCAGGAGGGCGGGGCTTGGGGATGGGGTGACTGTGGAGGGGCAGACCCAGGAGAAGGGACCCAGGATTCCCTCAGCCACTGGCACAACCTGGGGTTTCTTTTCTGATGCAGACATGCTGTAAAGAGCCCCTCAAAGTGTGGATTTCTGGGCACTGTCCCTTCTTGGCCACCTGTCTCTCTCCAGCTGTTGCTAGTCCTGACCAATGGGAGCTTCAGTCCTGCAGCAACTGCAGACACCTGCTGAGAGGAGCTGACACAGGGGAGGCCACAGTCAGCACCTTTCTGGTTTGTGGATCACCCAGCGCTGCATCCTCCCCACAGTGGCCACCTTCACCTGACGCTAATGGTGGGCATCTCTGCACTGGAACTTCTACTTACTTGAAGGACACTTTTCAAAGTCGGGCCTCCCCTGGTGGCGCAGTGGTTGAGCACTGGGCTGTGAAGCTGCCTGCAGCCTCTGCAGAGCCGGTTCGATCCCCGGCCACCGGTGAGGGTCCCACATGGCGCGCAGACCCCTCCTGCTGCCTGCTGCTCCCCTCGGACTGCACTTTGGTCCTTCTGCCTGTTCTGCTCCCCACTCTGGCTCTGGTGAATTCTCTCACCCTCCCGCGCTTCTGACTGTACCCAGTGATTGTGTAAATAAATAAATCTTTAAAAACAAAAACCAAAAAAACAAAGTCGACGTCATTTTCCTCCTTTACCTCTACTGTGAAATCAGACACATCCCTGCATCGTCACCTTCCTCTGACAAATGATGTGTCTGGTAAAACCTGCTGTGACCTTCAAACCTTGGGGATCCTTCCTAGGTTGGCAGGGGTGGGGTCTCGGGCACCTCCTCACTTGTCCACACCATCAGTGACCTTCCTGTGCTGAGTGATCCTCCTGCTCCCCCTGCAGGTGTCTGATTAGGACAGTGATTCAGTGTCTAGAAAACACAATAGAATCCGGCCCCAAAGTGATCAGGCCCCTATCACGTCAATGTCAGCACGTAGCACAGAGGACAAGGTGATGCAGGCACACTTTACCCCAAGGGCTGCGTGCAGCGTGAGCACAAGGTAACGCAGGCAGGCAGACAGCTGTGTCGCCACGTGCTCTCATCCCTGTGGGCAGGCCTGGCAGGGGGATGCCATGTTGTGGGAGGAGCCCAGTGCCCTTGTGCTGGGTGGTGTGAAATGGGTTCACACAGTGATTCAGCTCATAGACCAGCCACGCGAGGGGCTCCTGCTGTTTCATCTTCTGCCCAGCGCTGAGGGTTCAGGTATTTTAAATATGCCAGATTTCATGGATGTGCAGGATTAGCTTTTGTATTTAAAATTTGCATTAAATCTTTGGGAGATTTCTCCCTAATAGTGTTATTTTCCACCTGTGATGACTCACATTTATTTATTTCCAAAACTTTGGAAAATTTAAAACGTCCTCATTTATTTGTAGGGGCTCTTTATGAATGAGGACGCTAGAAAGTGGGTACAGGTAGGTAGTTTGGAAAAGGGGTGCCCCAGCCCCCGCCCAGATGTCCCGAGATCATTTATGAGTCTGAATGAGGAACAACTGATGGGACTCAGGGGCCCCAACCCCATGAAACATGGAGTGTTGAGAACAGCAGCTCGGCAACACAGAGCTGAGGCCCGGGGCCAGAGCTGGCTTCTGGAAGGCAGGCCAGGTAACCTGGGGACTCTGCCCAGGAGACCCGCAGGGCCTTCCTATTTATCAGGAAATTGCCTTGCTTTTCTGTACCTTGGTCTCCACAACTAATTCTCTACTCACTGTAGAGAAGATCCGAGGGCCGCCCCCTAGGGGTCCAAGAACCCACAAAACCTGTATTCAATATAGAGCTGATAAACGCTGTTGTTCAGTCCTCTGCGATAATTAGAATTTCCTTGGAACCTGGCTGAGGGAGTGTTCTCATGTGGGGGCGCACACCCTCAAGAACCATCTGTGGACACAGCACCCCTGACCCCATGGCTGAAACCTGCCCCCGTAGTTCATCACGTGGTCAGTCCAGCCACCCCATGGGGAGGCCCTAGTGCCTCCTTGTCCTGGCCCTTATGAGGCAGTGAGTGTGGCAGGGAGAGGGGAGAGGGAGATTGGGGGTCTAGACCCCCGAGTCCCACTCTGCCCCAGGAGCTTGAGCCCTTTCCTCTTAAGTGAGCAAAATGGGTGAAGCTCTCCTCCCGCACACGTTCACTGTCCAGGCAGGACCAGCCCTGCTGCCAACACCCCCTTTGGCCACGCATGAGGGTGGGTGGAGGAGGCCTGTCCTGGGCGCAGGGCCTGTCTCTACAGGACAGGGACTTGGGGTCACAGCAAACTGAATTAGATATAATGGAGACGAGAAGGTTCTCACTCTTTCACTGGAGTATCCAGCAGGGCCTTTGTGGGTGGTTTAAAGGTGAAACACTCACAGTAGGTGAGAAAATTCAGGTTTGATAGGAAGAGCTTGGTTAGTCCAGTGAGCTGGTGAGGGAAGAGACCGCCATGCCCTGGTGTGGGGCCAGGAACCAGGGTTGAGTCCCTGGGCGGAGACACCCTGGTTGACTCAACCCATGCGGCTGGGTCTGTGGACACTGACTCGGGGAACAGGAGGAAGGCAGAGGGAGATGTGGCAGGACCAGGGGCAGGGCATGGACCTTGTGGACACTGGGCATCCCTGGCTCACCTCAAGGCCAACTCCCAGAACCCACACTCATCACCCCAGGTAGGGTTGGATCTGCCCAGAGTGATACTTCTACCGCACAAGTGGAGACAGGCATCTGGAGGGCACCTGTTTCTTCAACTCCCCAGCAGGAGTGTCCATATCTGTGAAATAGTAAACGCTGCTGGAAGGAAAGAGTTAAGCAGTAGGTCTTGCAAGTGACCCTGAGCTGGCCACGCTGAGGTCTCATCCCAGGCCCCTCACTCAGGTGTCTGCCTGCCTCCCTGAGGTCAAGGCCAGGGTCCCTGGCAGGGGTGGGCCATGTGGTGCAGTCCAGGCACCTCCCCTGTCCCCTGAGTCATGTGACAGGTGGCAATAAGACCAAAGAGCAGTGCCCACTTGGCAGACCAGGGCTTTCTAGACTCTGGAGCTGATGATGCTGCTGTCCTGACCAGAGTGGCCTCAAATATGTCTTAAGTCAGAGGATTTTATAAAATAAAAACCTCTAATGTGCTCTTTACATTTTTTAAAGATTTATTTAATTTATTCATGCATACAAGAATTGGGGTGCAGGCCAGGGGCGTGAGGAAGAGAGGATTCACCAGAGACAGAGTGGGGATCAGAATAGGTGGATATCCTGGAACACACTGCAGAGGGTATCAGCGCGGAAACAGGAGACGTCTGCCGCGCTATGTTGGTAGCCCCTGACCTGGGATGGAACTCTTGCCACAGTGGCTCTGGAGAGCTCATAGTGCTGAGACTTAACCTCTTGAGCCACCAGGGGGGCCTTGTTTACATTTTTTATACACTCAGTAAACTGTGGA